TTTTTTCATGAAAAAAGTGTGCCTTTGCACAAAAAAGGTTGAAAAACACTGATCTAGGCCATGGTTGTCCCAAAGGTGCTTTTTTTTACATGAGGCAACAACTGGACTTTCTGATTTTTTTCTTTGAAGAAAACTTCAAAGAAAAAGCAGAAAGTCCAGGTGCCTCTTATAAAAAGCACCTGTGGGAAAAGATATCAAGGCATGAAAAGCTAATGGGAAAAGGAGTTGAAGCTGAGTGGAAGTTTCTAAAGAAGAAGATATAGGTGATCCTTAACTCATGGTCAGTCGCTTAAGGATTGTTCACATTTACGACGGTCACGAAACTGGTGCTTTGCAGCCTATAAAGCACCCCCTGGCCATTTTAAATGGTCACGTTGCACTGCTCCCCCCTGGTCACATGATTGCATGTGAGTCCCTCAATTTACAACCATAACAGCTTATTTCTGAGACCAATGGCGTACGTAAGTCGAAGGCTATCTTCCTTATAATTACACCAGCAAACAATTCTAGCAAGGAACAAAATGGAACACCAGCTTGTGGGGGGGGGGGAGGCGGGGAGCCCCAATGTGGCTACACCACCAAAAGCTTATATTTAAAATCTGAGCGCAGAAAAGAAGATCCATGGAGGAGAAATGGGAAACAGGCCAGGTCACAAAGGTATAGAGTATAGAATGGAAGCCCAGAACTGCAAGGAGAATGCCAGGGAAAGGTCCAAGCTCAGAATGAGATGAGGTTAATTAAGGAAATGATAAATAAATATGAAAGGCTTCTTGACAAGAAAAGTGGAAGAGAGAGAACCATCTCTTCAGTAAAGGCAGCAAATGTTAACAAGTAAGGAAAAACTCTGAGCCACCTGATGTAGGTCTTCTAAAACAAAACACCAAAAAAAACACCCTGACTGATCCATCCCCAATAAAACCCCTCCATGTGCCCCACCACCAAATTATGACAAGCTGAAGGCTTAAAATGAGAGAAGGGCAGGTTTCCTCTCCTGCCTCTCTGAGGGCATCTTCAGGTGGTGAGAATAAGCAGGAACATTCAAACGAGAGATATAAACGAGACTGGAAAAANAGAGAGAGACAGAGCGCTGAGGAAAGAAGTCAGAATCTGATATACAACACATCAGCACAGAAAACAAACAGACCTTAAAGCAGAGTCCTCTTCTGACAAGTCTTCTGTATCTGCCCAGGGATCATCTGAACCACCTATAGCCATAAAAAAGGAAGACAAAAGCAAGTTAGCAGTCACAGCAATGCTTGCGATGAATTATAGCAACTATGGTTTGGGACTGAGAAAGTTCTTTTTATGATGTAGTATTTTTCCTAGATAGTTTCAGACTTCCCATCAGTTAAGCATAATAAACAGTCCAAATGCACTTGCTATGGTGAATGAGTCAAGTGAGATCGTCAGGGCTATCCCAATGAGCAGTTTTTTTCCACCTTAGCGACTTTAAAAAGTCTGGACTTCAACTTCCAGAATTCCCCAGCCGGCATGGTTGGCTGAGGAGTTCTGGGAGTTGAAGTTCATAAAGAGGCCACATTTAGAGACCCCTGCCGTAGAAGAGTCTTATTGGGCCATCCCATGAAGCCAATGAAATAAACTTGGTTGGGTTTTGTTTTTGATGCAAAAGATCACCAAATGGCTAAATCCTGGAGTCTCTTTGTGCATTCCAGGAATTTGGTTTTCATCTTGAACTAACCAGTGACTATTTACATATAAACATTGCGTGCATTAACCTATGATTTGTTTTAACTTAATGAATGCACAACAGTAAACATTAAACCACATTTTACAAGCCAGAGGGCCTGGATTTATACATAACACTAACTCAAACCTAGCAACCCATATTATTATGACTTCTTCCTCCAAGCTTAAAGGAGCAACCCCTACTAATTTCCACAGATGCTCCATTTCTCTTCAAAGTGCATCATCACCAGTAAAACTACATCTCCCACAAACCTCCCTTCCCTTACCTGAGAAAATGTAGTTGTATCCTGTTCGCCCATAAAGTTCTCCCCACCCTGCCAGTGTGGCTGATCGGCATATATGCTGGGGAGACAAAGACCAATAACAGTATAAACATACAGCAAAGATACAAAGATACAGGCTTATTGAACTATCCCAAATCAAAATGGAGCTGCGGATACAGTTTTATAGAGAAATTATTGAGACTGTCATCTGCACCTCTATAACTGTCTGGTTTGGTTCTG